TCAATATCCTACATACAGAGCCTTAAAAATTGATTTGATACTCTACTTAATCCAGGATTGTAAACAAGAAAAAAATTAAAACTATTTTTACTTTTCATATTAAAGAAAATAATCATTATTTAGGGAGTGTGATGAAATGCTGATGGTAGTGTAAATGAGTTCAACATTTACAGAAAGAGATTTGATTATCTGATGTTAATACGTGTCTATGTATATATTATAGTATATTACATTATGTTATAGGACTGCAGCCTAAAATGTATTTTGAAAAAGCAACATGACAAACATTTCACTACAAGATACAGCATCTTAGATTATTTCAATAATGATAATGCCATGAAAGGCAACTTGCAGCCACACAGTTTTAGCTTTGTTATTGAGGAGCAAGTGAATGGACTATTAAGTCACTAGCTAAACATGATTTTTGAAATTTTTTCAGCCTTGGAAAATACTCATAGTGCAATAGTTAATGTAAAGTCAAAATATCACATTATCTATACCTTAAAATTTATACTTTGAAACAGTAAAGTAAAATACAGTAAAGTGAATTTTTTGTAGTGACCATTAGTTATTTCTAAAATTTGGAGAGACACTCATTTAAAACCTATGAATTTAGAAGGGGCAGTAAAGGGATGGCACATAGAAAGTTTTTAATTGACCTTTACTAAAGTAGTTTGATTTAGAGGGAAATAAGAATCTTGTCATAGTAGAATAATCAGATTTTTGAACTGAGGAATCCCATGCAGTTCACTAGATCCAGTGACTACAATGTATCTGCACTGGTACTAGGTCAGTGTGCACTGTGCATTCACTAGCCGAAGCCTCCTTGGAGCCGTAGCAGTTTGCCAGCTCCTGCAGCAGTTTTTCAGAATATCATTTGTAGGTCCTTCCTCCTCTTTAGATTTTCTTTTTGTTTGCTACAAAGGACATTTAAAAAAACATTTTCTTTGTGCATACTCTTAAAAGAGAAAAAACACGAGGAGCTAGTAAATTAAATAATGAAATATCTAAAACTTGCAAACAATATACAAAATCTAATTTCTTTTGAGAATTACTTGTGTCTTTTATATAATTTTTAAGGGTTTGGTTCTGTTTAAAGTGCCTCGAGCCAGTTAATATCATTGGTTTCCTTGTACATAAAATGAGATTGATAACAGTAGTAGCTACTTCATAGAGATTTAATTTTTTTTCTTATTATTGTGTGTGTGCACATGTGTGTGTATGTGTGCATGCACATGCTTTATACATGCTACAGCAAGTATTCCAAAATGCATGCTTGTGGAAGTCAGATGATGGTAACAACTTTTAGGAGTAGCTTCTCTTCTTTAACCTTGTTTTTTGTTTTGTTTTGTTTTTGAGACAGGGTCACATGTAGCCCAGGATGAACTCAATATATAGCCAAGGATGGCCTTGACCTTCTGCTTCTCCTGCCACCACCTCCAGAGTGTTAGAATTATATAAGCGTGCTGCCACACCAGATTTTATGTGGTATTGGGAATCAGATCAAGTGCCTTTTCCATGTTAGGCAAGCACTCTATGGACTGAACCATATAGCTAGCCCCTCCACCTTGCTTTTGAGGTAGGCTTTCTCTTGTTTCTGCTGTACTGAGTACTCTAGGCCAGCTGGCCCACAAACTTCTGGATGATTTTGACTCCACCTACCATCTTACCTTAGGAGCGGTGAAGTTACAGATGTGCCACTGCTTTTTATATGTTCTGGGGATTGAAAGATTGTTAGACTTTTACTCCCTGAGGCATCTCACCATCCAGAGACATTTTAAAGTAGGTTTATACACATAAAATCTTGGCCTAAAAGTAAGGGTTCAATAAAAATTAGAGACATCTTGCTTCAGTACAAAATGGCAAAAATATCCTTCCCCTAATCCATTATGCAAAATACAGTGAAAAGCTAGAATTTCATATTTCAAGCCCAGATAAGAAAACTGCAGAAAAATGAGGATAGTCAGCTAGGAATTCAGGGGCACAAGGAATAGCATAGAAATGAGTTCTTTAGTTTCTATTTGTTTCTACATCCGAGACTGGCTTCTAGAGAAACTGGCAATTTGGAAGCATGAAAAGACATACAATTAATAATACGACACATCAAAACCTCTGTCCTAGAGTAAAAGAAGAAAGAAATGGAAAGCCAGAAAATGTTAACTAACAACCACCCCAATCAGGTCAAACACCATGGAAAACATTAGTTCTAATTTTGTCCTCATCAGTAAAAGTACAGCAGAGTTTCTAGGCATCTATTCTTGCCAGGTTAGAAGAAGACAGCCTGGAATCACTGTCTTCTCTGATTGTGTCAGGAAGTTTATATGTGGAGTTTGAACTTTTGCTATATCTAAGTTAAGGTGGTCACATGGGGAGTATGAGGTAAAAAACCTTCTCATTAAGGACAGAGTATGGGGAACCCAACTCAATCCTAAAATTTCACCCTAACTCATTTCCCACTGGTGTCAGGGAAGTATAGTGATGAACCAGAACTTAGACCACATGCATGTATGGGCAGCTTTATCTGGACCTAGTGTGTTCTTAAAAAACAAACAAACAAACAAACAAACAAACAAACAAAAACACAATTAAAAAAATGCCTTAAGCACAGAAGGAACCCTACAGAGATGGAAGAAAGCCCTTCCAGAAGCAATATGGTTGTAAAATGAGATGTTGGCCCCTATGAGCTGTTGGCCTGAGGGGCCATAGAGGTCCCCAAAACAATAAAGGCTGTTGCCAATAATGCTGGTTGTAAGCCAGAAATGGATAAAAGGACCGCATTGCTGAAGACACTGCTTGATGTGAGTGCAGGAGAAGGAGAAATCAAGTGTGGAGTAAACTGGAAACTCCCTGACACTGGATGAGTGGCTTTCATGGTGCCAAAAGGCAATATGGAGATCACAGGGGATCCCGTGTGTTGCACTATCAACATACCAAACAAGACATTCCTGCTGGCTCAATAGTGGAATGTCTAGTGTATGTACAACCAGCAAATTTTGGATTGGATTTAATGCCCGCTTCTAGGGGTGGAACACACATCTGGTACTGTAGACCAGACCAACCCCCCCGTGGCAGGGGAGAATATAGGCCCCAGTGGGAAGCCACTGCAATTGTTTTGTTAGATGGCTGTGATGCATCTGCTAAAGTACCATCCAAGTGTTTGTGTTTACACCATACTGAATCCCTCTTTTACTTCCGTGTGCACTGACACATCTGTATTGTGCCTGCTGACATTGTGTTAGCCAAAGCCAGTAATTGAGTGAATTAAAATCAAGAGACATACTCTCCTTTCATGGAGTAGTGAGCAACAGAATGATACTATTTTTGATGAAAATAGGGCAAAAAGAAGGAGAAATAGGTTTTGAATAAGCATTGTAGCTATCACTCCTGGAAATTCAGAATCATTGCATTAATTATATATTGTGCTTTGGTGTTGTCATATTCTGTATTATTGAAGTGAACTGCACCATCTGATTGTCAGGCTAAATCTTGTGACTTATATGTCTTAATTTGACTACTGTATATGTGGTTGATTTTATTCACAACTTCATTTGACACAAGACTCTGGAGATGTGCAGTTGATACTAAGCGATTTAATAGTGTATTTTCTAACTCCAGTTTTCCCTATTTCCATGAATTATTAATATTTTGTTGCTCTATTAATATCCAGTGGATCTATAAGATATATTTGTCTTTATGAAATCATTGACCAATTAATATATGTTGCAAAGGTTTTTTTAAACTACAGTTTTATGCACAAGCTCATTCTTTACTGAAGTTGTGAATACAAGAACATATGTACTCTGTATGCAATGCAAGAAGATATATACATCACATTTAATTGAAGCTATATATCTACCTATATTTCAAAGAATTGAATTTTTTCAGCCTACTTGTAGCAACTGTAAGCTTCTGCCATACATCTACCACTTCCCTTTTCACAATCTCAAATGTGTCTGCACTACACTTACATACCATTCATTCCATCTGTATAAAATACATTTATAAAATAGATTACCCTGGTACTATATACTCCACTTTCATTCTAAGCAGTAAAACCCACAAAATTGTCTGCTTGAAGTGTGAAATGTATTTTTTCTGATGTACATTAAAATAAATATATATTTATTAAAGTAAAAGTGTTCACTGTGTCATTTTAAATATGTGCTTTACGGCCATCATTACCTGCCAGAGCATACAGTTAAAAAAAAACTGTCCTCAGGTCAGTTCTGTTAAGCCAGAAACATTGAAAACTAGTTAAACAAAAATATATTGTGAAAAGAATCATTAACTCTTATTTTCCAATTATGTTTCAGGTTTGTGGAAGGGATGCTTAACATTTGCTACAATGCTCTTGATCGTCATATTGAAAATGGCCAAGGAGATAAGATTGCTATCATCTATGACAGCCCTGTTACAAATACTAAAGCAACAATTACCTATAATGAAGTTCTGGGTCAGGTAATGCCACAAACTTTCTCTACATATTGGAAATTATATAGAAATTATGTAGATAGCATGTCTTCCTGTTATATTATTTATTCTTTTTTGCATTGACAAGTTATCATGTTTTTCTTTGGCTATTTCTTAGAAATTATTACAAATATGTGAATGAATTTAGTCTTTTCTTAACGTCTTGATTCATATCATAATACTGAAATGCACTCATTTTATACAGGTGGGTTAGAAAATCTCAAGAACTGGTTTAAATCCTCTGCTGGCCTTTGCTGTCCACTCCCATCATGGTTAAGGTGGCTACTCCTCATTTCCAGGCCACTGATTTTCTCTTCCCCTCTTCCCCTCTTATGTGGTCTGATAATACTAGATTATCAAACAAAGTTATTCCAGAATTTTCTTCATAGGAAAACATATTTCTCTTTCTCATTTAACAATATTTTCCTTTAAACAGTTGCTGTCATTCGGAGGGCAAAATCCAGATTCCTATGATGTGCAAGACACTTTCAAATCTGACCACATTATTTCCAAGCTGCATTTCGTAATATTCTTGGCCATTTACACAACTCCTTCTCCCTCTCCCCCTCCTCCTATGTCTCCCCCCTCCTCTCCTCCTCCTATGTCATCTTTTTCTGTGGTGTATGGGTATGTGGGCACGTGTTTGTGTGTGCATTCACCTGTGCATGTGCATATGTGGAGGACTGAGGTTGATGTGTGGTCTCCTCTGTCACTCTCCACCGTATTTTTGAGATAGAATGACATGTGGCAACATACCCAGCTGTTAAGTGGGTTCTGGGGAATCAAACTCAATTCTTCATGCTTGTTACAGAAAATATTTTATATAGTGAGCCATCACCCTCAACTTAAAATCATTTATTCCCACAGAAATCTCTTTGCAAATCCTTACTCCTCTGTCTTGTTTGTTCTTTTTATGTATTACTCATCTCTGTAGTTAATAGGCAGACTACAGTGTTGACAGAAACATGATAGGATTTTTCTCTGTTAACATTAAAGTAGATATATAGTTTCAGAAGCAATTATAAAGGTGTCTGTGTATTGGGGACCATGGGAAAATTATTCTAACTTTATGGTATTTCACTGTGTATGATTTAAAGGCAGAAAAGTTATAAAGCCTGTTTCTCATTAACATTTTAGATCAGAAAATTCCTCATCAGGGAGGGGCTGTCATATACATTGGAAGATATTTAGAAACATCTGACCTCTACCTTTGGGATGCCAGGAATAATTGTCCCTGCATTGTAATGACTAAACAGGCATCCAAGCATTGAAAATGATCACTGGTTGGTAAAAATTTCCCTGATTAGTCAGCACTGGCTGAGCAGACCAAGCAGACTTGACCAAGCTCAGGTCACAGGCCTAGAATGTCAGGAAGTGGGGAAAAAAATAATTTCCTCAATAAAAGAAGGGACTTTCAATCTAAATAGAAGGATACAAAAATGCTGAAAAGCCTGTAAGAGCAAAGAGCAAAAACAAAAGACAGTTCCATAAATATATTTTTTATGTCTTTTTGGTTCTGTAAGTAGCAAGTCTCTTTGTGGAATGAAGAACACACACAGATTCACACTACGGTCATGCCAGTAAAGTACTCTATTTCCAAATGTGCTCAAATAGATGAGGCAGAATTTTCAACTAATAGAAATTTTCTGAAAACTTTTACTTCATGTTTTATTTTGGGTTTTCATTTTCATTTTTTTGGAGAGGTTTAGTCTATGATTGAAAACACATTCCTGTAATTAGGGCATATTGCCACAATCCCATTTTGAGAATATAAAAGCTTAAAACAGATGTTAATTTTAATTGTTACATGATGATACTGATTACAATGTTTATTTATAAATTGTAAAGCTGTTGTCTGTATTAGCATATTGAATTACAGATATATACGTATATAATCATAACACTCAAAGAAAACCTTAGAGGAATCTGCAGTAGCAGGAATTACTGCCATCTCCATTTTCTTCTGCTTTCTTTTGAAGTTAGTTTTTGTAACTAGAGATCACGCATGTTTAGTTCAGAGCTTTTCTGCTACCTCATCCTATTTTCAGATATCGAATTTGGACTCTTAGACTCTTTTGACTTCTGTACTAGTTCACTGGTTTCAGTTTAGCCTGACATCAAAGTACTTAAAAGGACCATTTCTCTCACCTGCTGTCAGCCTCTGATTCCTGGCCTTTCTTCTCCAATGTACTAAAAGAACTGTTTTGAAAGAGAGAGAGAGCATTGTTCTGCTGCTTTGATTACCCACTCCCAGTTCCCTGTGGTCTTTATTTTATTAAGTGAGGAAGACAGAGAAAGAAAGGTTTAATGGGTTATGCCATTGAGAACAAACAAAAGGAACAGTCTTTGTACCACTGCTCGTTTAAAATAAAACTTGATTTAGTTAATATTTCTTATTTAATTTGTAAACAGCAAATTTTAGGCTAAATTACCTCAATGATATAAAAGATCTGACAATTTTACAGAATGATTCAGAAGCAGAAACATTCTGTAACTGCTATCTTCTGTGGATCTGATTATTCAAAAAAAACCCTTTGCTAAGTTTTTTTTTTGTTTTTTGTTTTTTGTACAGGGGTCTGAGCCCTGTTTATGATCCATCCTTCTTTCAATAAATGGTTGGCTTTTTAATGTCTAATCTTCTTAGGAACAAAGGATAACTCATAACCAGACACATCGCTGTTGCCAAGTGCTAAGAAAGCATATAAATAAGAGGGACTAGAGATGGTTCAGTGGTGAAGAGCACTGGCTGCTCTTGCAGAGGACCTGAGTTTGGTTCCATGCACCCACATGGTAGCTAACAACTGTCCATAACTCCAGTTCCAGGGGATCCAACACCCTCTTCTGACCTCCATGGGCATTGCACTACATAGGTGCACTTCCATACACACAGGTAATACGCTCATATGCATAAAATAAAAATAATAAATAAAATATAAAAAACATATAACTATATAAATATGGAGAAATAAAAAGGTTTTATAGGGTTTAGTGCTGTATTCTGTGCAAACAACATAGAAAACACTTGTATTTTTCTTAATTTTAACAATTACCTGTGATAATTAACTTTTAAGGAACAAGGTTTATTTTGATTCAAGTTCAAGATTGGTGGACCTATTTCATTGGATCTGTTATGTATGCAGTATGACAGTAATGGGGAATATGTGGTGAAGCAAACTGCTCATGGCCTGGTTAGGACACAGAGGAAGACCTGGGCCAAAGTGCCACAATCCTCTTTGCAGGAACACCTCTCAATAACCTAAAGAGGCGCAACCTCCTACAGATCCTGCCATGTCTTTCCTGTGAGCACTGCTCTGGGAACTGAAACTCAACACATAGATTTTTTTGAGAGACACTTGTCCAAATCATAGCAGTACCTGGCCAAGTCAGAGCTAAGTGGGATCTAGGAAGGCTTTCTAGAAGAGTTGAGACCTAAAGTTAGTTGTGTTACTTACCTTCTATTTGAACTGATTTTTCCCCTCTACAAATGAATCATGGATTATTTCTTGTATGCCATTTTATCAACCATATCTATTTTGACCATATTAACTATAAATGTTCTTGCTCACAATTGTTCTTACTTTATAACCACCATTTTTTCTTTCTTATTACTCAATATCATATGCTATACAATATACTTTGTATGCTATTCATACATTCTTTATTTTGATTTTTCTTCTAATATATAAAATTTATCAGGGCAGAGATGTTTGATTTGGTTACAGATTGGTGCCATGTACATACTGAATATTTATTGGCTAATGAATGAATGAATGTAATTATCATTTGAAATTTTTATTCATATCTTTTTTTCTTCCTTGAAATTCTTAATTTATACTAGTAACAAATAATCTTCCAAAGTAAATTCTAAGTTATGGAGAATTTCAACTTATTGTTATTTCACTTGCTTCTCTATGAGGTATAATTTCTCCTTTAATTTTTCAAAATTAGCATCCAAAAGATCTGCATTCTAGTAGACTTGCACATATTTATTGTGACTCTTCTCATTTTGCCTATTTCAAGTTAATAGATTATTACATTAAATCTCAGTAAAATTAGGTATGTGTGTGTTTTTATGTGAATACATATATATATAATTCACAATATCCATAATTCAACTTTGACTCTATTGCTGTGTGTAGATTTTGATTTTTATGTACTGCACAATTAAGAATTTCTATGTCTATTCATTAAGTAAGAGTGACCCCTGAAGGGAATTTGAGAATTTTTCATGAATAAATGTATATGAGGAAAATTGGTAAAACATAGTGTGTGCTAAATTTCCCAAATCTAATTTAAACTCAGAGTGTCTATTATCTTTGCTAGAGGTTACTTTTTGCAATGTAATTATAGGTGTAATTGTAATTATGAGGGTTTAATAATTTAGCAGAGAAAATTACTCTGAAATCATGGCTGAGTTCCATGAAAAGTCCATTTTCATCCTCTGCTCTTGAGAATGCTCTCTTCTAAGAATGAAATTCATATTTTTAGAAATATGTCCTGAGAAAAGTAGTCTGATATTCTTTCATCAGTAACAGCATTTCTTTAATTAAACATCTGAAAGGCAAAAAACCTACATAAACATACCCAAATTCAACTTTGTTAGTGATGGTATTGTTGAGAGAAAAGGAGGTATCTATCTATCTATCTATCTATCTATCTATCTATCTATCTATCTGTCTGTCTGTCTGTCTGTCTGTCTGTCTGTCTGTCTGTCTATCATCTATCCTATCTAATTTATCTATCATCTATCTCTATCATCTATCTATCATCTATCTTCTATCTATCAATAATCTATCATCTATGTATCTATCTATCATCTATGTATCTATCTATCATCTATGTATCTATCTATCATCTCTATCATCCATCATCATTTTATGTGAAAGAGTGTTTGACTGCATGTATATATGTGTCCCATATGCATGATTGTTATCTGAGGAGATCAGAAAGAGTGTTGAATCCCATGGAACTGGAGTTACAGACAGTTG